CTCCATCCTTGATGGCATCCATCTTTTGTGCCAATGAATGAATCTCGGCCAAAGTTCCAAGCTTACGATTCATCTCAATAATTATGTGAGTCTGTGAATTTACAGTGTGGTGCAAACCATCTCTGAGCTCTGGGATCAGGCCAATATTTCTCCACAGCTTGTAAATTTTCCGATAAGCCAGGTAGCCTCCAATGCCGATCAGCAGGAAACCCGACACCAACACCACAAATATCCACACATCTTCAGAGTCCTCTACAGACAGCTGAGATAAACAAATCAAGTTCCACTGTTTCCAGGAGTACATGATGTGTCCAACTGGGTCTGTTCCGGAGGGGCATCCGGGAGCTCCTTCTCCCGTTCTCACCGTTGAAAAAATTTTATCAATCGCGTTGAGAGACCAACTGACGAGATCCATTTTAGTGATTTCAGTTTCCAGTTTCCAGAAAAAACTGCAGAAGCAGCCGTGCACCCAGCACACAGAGACAGACAAAGGGCCTTGAGGATAAGATATGGAAGAGAGGAGGAAAAAAGCGTCTGCACCCTCTGAGAGCCGGAAGAAGACCAGCTTTAAACACACCAGCTTTAAATGTTGATTGACCAATAAAACCAGAGTTACACTTAAAATAATTAAATCTCAGACCATCATGAAGATTGTGATCTTGGCCACTGTCTTGATACAGGAATCTTTAATCAAATGTCATACTTGTTCACATGCACTTAGTCCCTTTATTATAGTGTGTGTGATGTGAACACCCCTCCCAGGGTGGAGGTCTGCACTCTTACTGTCATGGTTTGCCACCACCTACTGGTGAGGTGTGTCAGCTCTGTGTTTGCAGGTGGGCGTGGCATCCGTCACAGCTGTTGGGAGTTTCCACTAATCGGAGGTTCAGAGGATTTAAGGAGTGGTGTCAATCAATCAATCAATCAATCAATCAATCAATCAATCAATCATCAATCAATCAATCAATCAATCAATCAATCAATCAATCAATCATTCAATCAATCGATCGATTGGTTGATCAATCAATCAATCAATCAATCAATCAATCATCACTCAATCAATCAATCAATCAATCAATCAATCAATCAATCGATCGATCAATCAATCAATCAATCAATCAATCAATCAATCAATCATCAATCAATCAATCAAAGCTTTATTTATATCTCGCCTTCCGCAACCCTGTCGGGTAGCCCAAGGCGCTGAACATAGTACATGACAAAGTTAAATATGGTGAATAAATCGAAAATAAAAGCAGTTCAAATGACAAATTACAAAAAAAGTTTAAACATTCTTGTAGAAGACAAATGGTTCAAACAAGGGATAGAGTCAACCAATGAAAACAGGGAAATAAAATCAACATACAAGAGGGCCCAATTTAAACACGTTCAGGAAACGCCAAGCGGAGGGGGTGGGTTTTTAGGCGACTCTTAAAGACTGGCAGAGATGGGAACAGCCTAACTGAGGGTGGCAACTGGTTCCAGAGTGATGGCGCTAGGACTGAGAAAGCCCTGTCCCCGCGAGTACGACACCTCGAACAAGGGACAGCGAGCAGGCCTTGGTCAGAGGAGCGCATTCATTGGCACAAATGTCTGTTCAGGAGTGTGGCTAGATAGGGGGGAGCATTACTCTGGAAGAAATTGTAGACAAAGACGAGGAGTTTGAAGTGTGAACGATAACAAACCGGAAGCCAGTGCAGGGAGACTAGAACTGGACTGAACTCAACCTGGTGTGACTCAACCCCAGTGCCAGTTGATACTCTCATATGGGTAGCATCTAGCCTAGAATCTGTCTTTGGTTCCTGTGATCCTGGTCTAATGATTTTTGTGTATCCTGTCCTAGTATCCTGTTCTGCACCACCTACCTTGCCTGGAGTTGTCTCACGTCCTGCCGTTCAAGGATCCTTTGGCCTCCTTTCTCTACACCTGCCTGCCTGCCCACGCTCAGAACCACCTCACCCGTTCCAGCCTCTCCCAGTTTGCCTCCGCTCAAATCCTGGCTTCGGAGCGTAAGAAATTTCAGATACGGATTCTTATTCTCCTGGTTCTCTGGTTCTGGCCTCGCTCACCTTTTTTGTCTTCATAGATTCCGGTTCCATCCTGTTCCTGTTTTCAGAAGCAGCACCCTTAGTTCTAGTTTTTCTTTTCTCCTTTAAAAAATAAAACACTTGTATTTTTACTTACCTCTTCTCGTGTGATTCTTTATGTCGGAAACCCGCGGCTCTGGAGCCGCATGCAGCTCTTCCATCCATCTGATGCAGCTCTCTGTGCTTGTAAAATAATGACTGGATATTTAAATAAAATGCTTTATATTTTACTGCATTAATTTTATATCTGTATGCCAATTCTAAATGTAAAGATTGTCTGCGTAAACCTGAACAGGTCCAACCCGGTCTTGCTGTGAGACTGGGTTGATGCGTCATGCTTGTGCGTAATTATAGGCGTTTTCTGAGCTGACGAGGATGTGAGATTCTGGGACTCTCCTCAGACGGCTCCTGGATGTGTTGCCACATTGGAGACAGGAACAAGCACTATTCAGCCAAAGTTTCATAATCAGGGAACATTTTCTAAGTGACAAGTCTCTCTGAGAGACAGGGTTTGGAAAACACTCGCTTCAGTGGGAGGAACCTTCCTGCATGCGCTCTGGTTCTGCGACGCGCTCCAAGCCCCTCTCCACGTCTTCAGCTTGCGGTGCACCTTATGTACGCGCTGACAGTGAGCTGCGCTGATCAGTGTCCAGCTCAGATGTTCAGATGGGAATCTTTTCTTGAGTGATTTAGCTACATCTGCGATGTGCATAACGAATAAAATGTCAGTTGGTCTGCATGCGTCGGGGTAATTCTTTCGATTCTTTCTCCATCAAAATAAATGGTCAAATACAGGAACAGTCCGGTCAACACAAGCCCTGCTTTTAACTGTTATGTTTTCTTGTGAAAATTGTTGCAAAGAGATATAATTTAACTTGATTAACACCAGAGCCAGGCGCACTGCGCCGTTATCTCCGTCACTGTAAATGAGGGAAAAACAAAATGATCGGATCCTTTTCTGACCTTCCCCACCTACAAAGTTTAATTACAACAATCAAACGTGACAGAGCCTGGATTTGTATTCTGAACAGTCTAAACATGTTTTAAAAAGAAATGTATGACAAAAGTGGCACCTGCTCAGTAAAACCACCAACATGGTGAAAAATATCAAAATATTGTAGGCAGAGACGGGCTACAACTTCAGGATCCATTTTATATAAATCGTTTTATTGATTATCGTCTTATGAAAAATAACTTTGACGTACACGAGCGACCGGTACCGGCTGCTGTCACCTGTTGTGATTGGTTAAAGCAGCTCTCTGCTGTCTGAGGGTAGGCCCCGCCCACAACGCCGCGGCTGCTGTGGCTTCCAGTGTTTACTGTGGGAAACGGGTAATAATGGCTCTTTGATGGGGACAGGTTGCCGACCCCTGTCCTGGGTGAAGCACATTACCCACAACATGACACTGACTACTTTCTAGTTTTTATTAGTTACATTTCTTGAGTGAGTGTTTAATTTTAATACTGTACCATGTTTTGCTTGCAATTTGTGACAATTCATGGTGTGTTTATGGATCATCAATTGCAGTTTGTCAAAATAGGGGGGCCCAATACATTATCTTGCATAGGGGCCCCCACAATGCTAGAAACGGCCCTGCCCACAGTGCAGGATCCCTAGGGAATTGAGGCGTTGAGATGCAGGGGCTACTCCCAGACTAAACTAGCGGCTAAGGTAGCGACGAAACTGGAGATCCGCCATCACTGCTTTCCTCAACGATCAGACTGGCTGTCTCTGGTTTGTTGCTTGAAGCTGCTGCTGGCTGCTCTCCGGGCTGTAAACGTAAGCTGGTGTTGGTGGTGTAGAAAAGCCCTGGCTAGCTGAGTCGTCGTCGTTGACGGAAGCTGACTCAACAGGAGTAACATTAACATTAACAGGAGTAAAGAAATGACCTATTTTAGGTATATACTTTAAATTTTCTGCGTTTCTGATGTCCTTTTCCTCATACTGCCACTTAGCTTCTCCATGTTTCAGTTGTAGCAATGCCTGACGCCACGTAACCTGCTCGGCGTAACCTTTGACCCACCTCGAGTGGACTGACCAACGAGGAGAGGGTCTTAACTTGAGGCCCTCTCTTCATTGGTCAGTCTGCATGAGACAGACTCAATGGCTCTCAATTGACGTTCAAAGTAATAGGCAGCGAAGCGTCTCTGTGCAGCGCAAAAGCCCGGGTGGACAGTTTGTTTAATATAGAGCGGGAGATTTTGCTCATGCCCTTGCTGCCCTGGGCCTGGGCCCTTTAGAGTTCGTGGACCCCTGGGCAATTGCCCAGTTGCCCGTGTGGTTAATCTGGCCTTGCTGGCAAGCCATCCTATAAATGTGAATATATAGTCTGGCCACGACCCGTTGACAGATCTCAGTTCTGGGGCATAATCTATGGACAATGAACAATGTGTACTCACCAATACAGATATAAGTCAATGGGGCAGTCCGCCATACACTGTCGAAGAAGACACAAATACATGCCTTTTCTCAATAAAGGACCTAAGAGCCTCTATCTGCTCTTGTCTCAAAGAAAAGCCCAAGTTAAAGTAGTCCAAAGTTGATGCCAAAGCTGTTTCAAGTGAGCCGCCGTCCTCTTAGATGTTCTGCTGTGTCGCATCATCTCGCTCATCAAACTGATAGTGCTGTGATGGGCATGACACAAGACAGTTCATGCCTGCTGAGGTTCCAATGGAGCGTGGCTAGATCAACATGCAGAGCAAAATCATTTTTACCATCTTTCTATATTTCTAAGTTCAGTTTCCTTTATTATCTGCATATCATTACATTACATAACAACCAAACATGGAACTTTAGTGTTTTTTCTTGTAACTTGCATAAAATGAATGAATATATATAAAAACAAACAATATTTTTAGAATGAGCTCTTTAATTGCCTAATGAGCTCTTTAAATAAAGCACAACACACCTGGTTTATCCTGAGGATTTAAGTTTAATTATGACACCACATCAAAATAAAAATTTCCAACAGATCTGGAATTTAATTCCATCCATATACATGCATAGCAACAACGTTTAAGAAACATTTTCTCCCATATTCAGGACATTGGAATGATCATTTTACATCAGTATCCCCACTGACCTCCAGTCCAACTTGTTCATCAGCAATAAAAGTAATTTTCGTACAGCCGTTTTTCATTTTTTTCCCCGTGGGGATTACAAATAATTATGTGCACAGTCCCCATTTCATAATACTGCTTTCAGTAATGTTCCCTCATTTACAAAGTATTGCACTGAAAGCAAATTTCCAAAAGGGAGACCAAAGTGTATCATCAAACAGAAATACGAGTACTATACAGGAATGCTGCCATTCGTATGAAAACATCCACCAACATCTGAGTTTAATGAAAGAGACAGAGACAAACCACACATGTTTGCAAGCCATATATATATATATATATATATATATATATATATATATATATATATATATATATATATATATATATATCAAAATGTGAAATGCAGGTTTGTGCCTGTAATCACATCCAAATGGTGATTTGTAAGGCTAACAAGTCATTAGTGGTAATCTGCAGAAGACATTTTGAGCCTACAGAAACTGGTACAGCAAATAAGTATACACAAATGCCTCAGTAGCTATTTTTGTGTCTAAAATGCATCTCATTTTTGTATTGTTTATTGTTTCTTCGAGTCTACATTACAGTGTAAACAATATGTGTGCTACACAAGAATGACTATACAATAACATTACAAACAACTCTGATATAAATTTCCTTTTCAATTTAAATTAAGATCACTACTCCAACTAATACTGATTGTAAAATAAATTAATGTGAACTTGGCACCAATGTTATTCTTGATTTTTTTTGTTCTTTTTTCTTAACCAAGGGTTTTGCATTTTTGAGTCTTAAAACGACGAAAGAAGAAACTTCTCTTGATTGTCCACAAGCAGTGGTTAGCACTGCATGATGCACTATTCCAGACACAACAGTGTACCAAAAACAAAGGAGAAAAAGTCTGAAGGAAAAGGTGAAAAGGACAAGAACATGTCTTTTTCTTGTTCTCTGCTTATTTCACATGCTCTGCAGCATGTGATGAACAGTAAAATTTCTTATGAGTAATAAAGTTTGATAGGTTGTTGAACTGGATGTCACAGAGGCGGCAATATTTGCCACTTCCAGAGACGTTCACTCCTTTATTGGCCATGGGTGTCGCCTCCTCAGTGGGAGACTTTGAGGGTGGTGACATGTTCTCGTTGGAATCGGTCTGATTTTCTGTGGGCCATGTGGGTGAAGGGTTGGAGGGCTGGCTCTCTGACTGGGGCTGGTTCTCCTGCTGAGATGGGACCATGCCTGAGCGCTCTTCTGATTTGTGACCCCCGTTGACAATGACTATGCCCCGGTTTTTGGGCAGGAGGGGAAGAGTTTCCTTGGTGGGGTGAGGGCAACCGTTTGCAGCAGGCTGTGGGGCAGACTCTCTGGTTACTCCGATCTCTCCTCCGTTAACGCTCTGCTCCTGTTCACCAGCTTCTCCCTGCACTGCTGGTCCCCCAGTCACATAATCGGTTGGCTTTATCCCGAAATACGGCGATATTTGCTCTGGACCTTTCGCCTTTTTTATTGCTCCAGGATAAAGGCAATGGGGCAGAAACATATTCTTGTTCTCATCTTTTGATGGAATGAGCTGGGGCTCAGGAAAAGGCTTAAGTCCCAGCACAGACCCCAGGTGAGAGGGGAACATGCCTCCATTCTGCACCATCACCTTTCCATTCCCATTCTTCTCACATTTGCCAGGGCTCTTATCATAGCCATCATCAGGGCTGTTATTGCCTTCACTCTTCACATCTGGGAAGATGGTAGACTCCAGGCTGCCACTCTCATTGTGTTGTTGCTGCTGTTGTTGCTGAGATGCAGCAGCAGCTGTCGCAGGACAAAAGTTCTGTTTGTGTGCCAGGTAGTTCTCCACTTTGTTAAAACTTATCTTGCACACTGCACATTCGTGATAGTCCAAAAGTCTTTTGGGAGAGCTACATGTCTTGTCTGATGAACATTTTTTGCTGAGATCAATGGGTGCGTCCAACTCCTGCTGCTCCATGGTGTTACTTTTGGGCGCCAGTATAGGTTTAGTGACAGTCAGAGAGGCCTCCAGGTGTTTGGGTACCACCCCAGGAAAGATATCAGAGCGGGGGTGGAAGCGGTCAGCTAGGTTTTCGACAGCCTCTTGAGATGTACAAGGGTTAATCGGAGGAACCCCAAGAAAACCATGCTGTGCCATAGGGGGTCTCTGGTGGTCCTGATCAGGGAGACACATTTCATACATCTTCCTGCGCTTACGGGTCCTCATCGTTCTCTGCATCGAGGGCACCTTATTGGCAGACATACGCTTCATGGGGGGATCATGACGGGTGGCACAGTAGTACTGCTTGTGGACCATGTATGTCTCATGACGGCTGAATGTAATATTACAAGCATCGCAGGTTGTCTTGGTGGGATCATTATCACTTTCCACTAAGCCTATACTGGGACCTTTTCCCTCCATTTGCTTCCCATTGAGTCTATCCTCCACTCCAGCTGGGGTACAGACCTTCTTCACCTGTACTGCCATATCCTTATCAGGCCCTTTAGCCCCAGCGTTGATAATGTCTAACACATTGGAGTTCAGGCAAGCAGACTGCATGAGGTGGCTGTCGGTGTCTGTTGGGTGGCAGCCAGCCAACAGGCTGACAGAACTGTGACCACTGTTGGGGCTCACCGCTTCTGGAACCTTATCAGAGAGCGCAGAAAAGTCTGGAGACTTGGCCAAGTGCTGCCAGCGACTGTTACAGTAGTGCTTTTTATGGACTAAATAGTTGTCCAGGTTGCTGAAGGTGATATTGCATTCAAAGCATGTGGCCCCTTTGGGCATCAGCGGACTGTAGATGACAGGGGGGTAGCTATTCCCACCATGGCGGAGCCGTCGATGAACTAGCTCTGACATTTTAGCCAGAATTTCTGAAGCCTGTGGTACTACGGAAATGTCTTGGGAGAAAGCAAACTGAGACAAGAAGGGGCCCATGGGAAATGTAGGCATATTATGCTGCACTGGGGAGGAGGCCAGTCGGGGGCTGGAGGGCTCAGATTTGATCCTAGTGTAAGAAAAACTGGCTTTGCTGCCTGGGTGGGCCTCTCCCTTCTGGGCAGTTAGCATGGGCTTTTTCTCAGCCTTGTCATTGTCTCCGTCTGTGCTGGTCTCCTTGCTGAGGGCCCCTTTGGGACTCCCCAGCAGAGCATCCTTCCTGTTGGCCAACTCAGAGCGGGCCTGCTGCTGCTGGAGGCCCTCCTCAGACCCCCTGGGGGAATGCTCAGTTCCGTCGCCTTCCCTGTGAAGTTTGCTGCCATGCCCGTGTAAGTCCTGATGCTGCAAGAGTTCCCTGTGGCTCTGAAAGCTGATATGGCAGTGATTGCATCTGAAGGCCGCCTGTGACAGGTGAGACATGATATGATGCTGGAATGCAATAAGAGAATCTGCTGTGTAGTTACAGATTGTGCATTTCAAGCTGGTGCCAGGAGGGAGGCTCTCTTCCATTTTGACACCTGTGAAGGAAATAAAAGGAAGAAATGCTCAGAATCTCATCTCCCACCTCTCCTTTGGAGTTAACTGTAGAAACCATGAAACACACATGCGTTACGCAAAGCTAATTCCCATCCACTGGATTTTTCTCCTCTCAAGGATAAACTGTCAACTTTGCTACTTGACAACAGATGTGTATTTCTCAAAAGAAATGACACTCATTTTTTTCATGTATGTGTTCACATGTGTAATATTTTTCTAAAGTATTTAATTTAACATGTAATGTAACCATCTCCATCACAAATATGCAAAAAATGTTTTTTCTTTAAACCATGTGTCACTTGGTATGGTCACTCACCACTGTGTGAGGTGCTCAAATGCATTTCCAGGGCCCTGGCTCCAGAGAAGCTCTTGTTGCACTGTGGAAAGGGGCAAATACTGGGAGTCTGGTGGGGTCCATTTTCACTATCCTCCACCACCGTCTCTGGTTCCCTCTGTCGCCCGCTGCAATAGTACATGAGATGGGCCTGCAGGTTCCTTTCACTCCTGAACCAGATTCCACATGCCTTGCAGGGGAAGATGTCCTCTGGAAAGGTGCAAACGGGACATGATATCAGGATACAAGTGGTGCTTTCTTATGTAAGTGTAAAGATAAAAGTTTGCACATCAGCAAATGCACACAAACATTCCTTTTTCCCACTTGTGACACTCAAAGCATGCATTAAAAGGCTTTTCAACCAAATCCTCTGCTGCAGACTATCTCTGTACTACTACCAATGGGCCCTTACCCTCACTCAAGGGCAAGCAAGAACACTGGACCATCTGCTTACAGAAGCCTCCCTGTTGAGCTGAACCTAGATAGCCCTCACTAAGTAAATAAACACACTATTTGCATGAGGCATGAACTTTGCAATTAACACATTAGTTAGAGCTCTGGTGTGTTTACGTGAAACCAAAACTTGAAGGTCAACGGCTTTTATCTCCAGCGCAGAGAATCATCTGCATTTATCTTCGCCCACTGCAGACAGCACGCCTTGTTAAACAGGTGACTGAGTGCAGGCTATGAGACAGGATGGGAGAAGAAGACTTCTAAACAAAAACATTCCTACTCTTTGTGCGGACACTTACTGTTCACAATGGCGGTGGGGAGGATGGAGGCCATGGCTGCCTGCTGCGGTAGAAGCTGGATGCTGTCCAGCAGCCTGGCTGGGTACATGCCCTCGCTCAGAGACATGTGGTTAACCGCCTGCAGGCGTGAGTCAAAGTCCACTGCAAATGCCACCAGCTCCTCACCCTCCATCATGTTCTTGGTGGTGGTGCACCACAGCTGGCCACCTGGATGAGGCAGAAACAGATGCCTAAATGTTAGCTCAGAGTTTTGTTCTATGTAAACATTTCATTCTGGTTTTAAACTGCGCAACTTCTCTTAATACAATGATACGTATGTAAACACAAATGTATGAGTGTGAAACATGGCAATGAAATGATACATCATTTGATAAAAAAAAACTGCAAGTGTCACAGTATTTAAGATCTTAGCATCAATAAAGATAAATTGCATATACATCAGCTGAGTGTCAATGACTAAGATGTCCCTGATACTAGATTTTACATTGAGTCAATGAGTGTACACTCGCATGGCAGGACATTTGTGTTTTATGAGAAATATGTTCATTCAACTAAAATTGACTGAATAAAGATAAATTATTAATTTAATTTATATTAATTCTTAATTCTTCTTAGTTCACTGAGAAATGAGAAGGTATAAAATAAAACATTTTCTTCAATATTAGATAACTTGTATATTTGATGAACAAGTCAGTCTTCTATTAATTATGACTCCCAGCAAAGGTGAAATCCTATTTATTTTTCATAGTTTTATTAGATGATAGAAATTCCCTGTGTGAGGGTTTGGATCAGACCGTTTTGTCACTCACACGTTGTACATCATGTTGCAGCTCATCTCTCCACAGGAACTAGAAAACATGAGCATGAGCATTGGCCCCTCATGGAGGGGGCCATCGTCTAGCACACTGCTGCTAACCACTTAAACATTCTCCCTCTCCTGATAATAACTTCTTGCTTTCCTTGACGTTGGATGTGCTACTGCTAGTTTATTTGTTTAATTATAGATCCACTAGGATAAATACAATAAAAGTTTATCTCTCACCAAATAGAATATTTACTAAGACATCATAATATAACTGTAGACACATTACTTGTCCGTGTGTGTGTGTGTGTGTGTGTGTGTGTGTGTGTGTGTGTGTGTGTGTGTCTGCTCTGTCTTCTCGATCCCCAGTGAGTCGTGGAGGATGGCTGCTTATACTGAGCCAGGATTCTCTGGAGGTTTCTTCCTGTTAAAAGGGAGTTTTCCTCTCCACTGTCGCTGCATGCTTGCTTGGTATGAGGATTGCTGTATAGTCACTGACACTAGTCAGTGACTTGATGCAATTTGCTGGGTTCCTTATATAGGAAACATTATTTCTGATTGGCTTAATGAACTGTCCTGAATTGGAATGTTTATTATGTGAAGTGCCCTGAGACGACTCTTGTCGTGAATTGGCGCTATATAAATAAACTTGAATTGAATTGAATTTAACCCATCAGACATTTGTTAATCTTTGAATTCATTTTTGTATTTCTTTCATAACTTTAGAAGCTCTTCAAGCTGGTCTAATCTTCAGCATCAAAAACCTTAAAGGTTCCACATCATTCTAATTTAAACACACACACACACACACACACACACACACACACACACACACACACACACATGTAATCAAAATTCAGATTTTTTTAATATGATCAAGCAGCTGAAGAAGACGTGTTTTTGAGGTAAATAGAGCTTTTTGAAATAATGTTCTTGTTCTTTTCTTTTTATCTGTCACTCTGTCTGTGTATATCACAGGCGCCCATATCCAGAAGCGAAGTCTACCTCAGCTGGGGTAAACTCCTGCCTACAGGGCTGTTGTCAGCTACAACACAGAGACATGTCCTCTGCGTCATTAGATTGTTGTGTTTTGGGATTAAGCATTCCTCTGAAATCTTCTGAACATTTTCATTAAGTCAGAGAAAGAGGGGAGGCAGGAGAGAAGATGGAGGGGGGTAAAAAAGACAGTGAAGGTTTTAGCTTAGATAACATTTATCTCGGGACATGACAGGCTTTTCAGCAGCACTTCATTTCCATTGAAGAGATTAAAGTTTTTAATATGACTATTTACAGAAATCTGGCGGTGGAGATAACAACAACTATGATACGCCCACATTAAATGGCAGAATTAGGACATTGTTTCTAAGGAAAGCCGGACAATTAATTAAAGCACACTGTTGGCTTACAAAGGTGTGCAAACATACCAACGGAGTGTCAGGCTGAGAGGGGACATGTGGTTTGAGTCCTGGCTGATGTGGAATGAAGAGTCCTGAGGAGAGGGGGCACAGCCAGAGAGCCCCCATCCTCAAAAAAAAAAAAAAAAAAAAAAAAGAATTAAAAGAAAGAAAAATGAGGCAAGGCACTGCTTACACAAAATCTGTGAAACAGCAGGTTTAAAAACTACCCTGTGGATGGGATGAAGGAGCATGGGTTGAGGATCTGAGTGGAAATTTGGTGACTGAAACCACATTTATGTCTCCAGAGAAACAAGCAGAACAGATTGATTAGGTTTAAAGAATAACCTCATTATATCAAACAAAATTATATTTCCAACCCTAAAGCCTCTCTCAGTGTGTCCCAGGACAGCTGTGGCTGTAATCACCATCAGCGTGTGAATGTGTGTGTGTGAATGGATGAATGATAGACTGTGGTGTAAAGCACTTTTGAGTCCTCTGGCTCTGAAAGGTGGGTTATTTATCATTTAACCTTTACCTGTCCAGTTTTCACTGTGAGTGTGTGTGAGTGTGTGTGTGTGTACCCTGTCAGCCAATCTGCTGTGACAACACGTACAATTCAGGTATGGACGTAATTTTTTTGGGGGGGGGGGGGGGGGGGGGGGGGGGACATGTCCCCCCCCACTTTTTCCAAAGTCAAGCTTTGACCCATGCACTTTTTACCATCCAAAAACAATATTACGCTATTTTAAATTGACACTGGTTGAGCTCTAGGACCAAGCAGAAAACAACCATTTGTGTTGAAGCCTGTTTCCCATTAGAACATACTGTAAAGATCCCCCCCCCCCTCCACTTCTAAAGTGAAAATTACGTCCATGACTTCAGGTCCCTCTGCTTCATCTTTTTGATTCTTTTGTAGCCCACACTGCCTGTAGAGACCCTATGAATTTTTATTTTATTTTAACTGACAGTCAAGATTAATACAAGCTGCCACTAACAATGGAGAGGAACATGTTGCAGTTGCAGCCACATAAGTTCTTTCCTCTGTGAGCCAAGCTCATCTGAGAGATTCTTCAAAGAGAATTAGGTTTTCAGATACACATCACACATGTTTGGATCAACCTGAATCACTGATGCCTCGTGCTCTACCCAATTGAAATAAAACAGATTTGGTAAAATCTGATAAAAATGTTTTACTGCACTTTCACTGCCATATAAAATCAAACTGCATGCCTTTTAGCCATAATTGCCTACACATCCATGTGTTGTGTGTGTGAGTGATGTCCCAGATTCACTGATCAAGGCAGAACACAGAAGCAACACTGTGCTAATTCAGTAAATCAATTAAATTAGCTTCACTTACACCAGGATGACGGTGGCAGAGGAGTTAAGTGCCTGGCCGGTAACCGAACGGTTGCAGGTTCAAGCCCTGTCTTTCACAGTTGTTGTGTTATTGGGCAAAACACTGCCTTGCTTACTTGTGGTGGTCAGAGGGACTGGTGGCACTAGTTTACACTAGCCTTGCTTCTGTCGGTGCACCTCAGGACAGCTGTGACGTCATTGTAGCTATCATCATCACCAGCATGTGAGTGTGCGTGTGTGTGTGTGTGTGTGTGTGTGTGTGGTACAATGACTGTGCCAAGAAGGCGCTATATCAAATACAGGTCATTTATAATTTTTTCAACCATATTACCCGCATGTTCATCTCAGTTAGAACCAGGAAGTGGTCTGTGATGTTTGCTGGGATTTTAGGTCTGCACAATTATCACCACTTGCAAATCCAAAATCTCACTAGGCTGCAACTGTTTACAACAAATCACAATCAGAATTTGCAAAGGAGTTTCCAAAATGTCTGAAAACAATTGCAATGGTTTTCTACCCATTTACATGAGCCTTAGGGGCCTTTTTCTTAAGTTGTATGGAACCAGTCTCAAATGCTTCTCATGAGAGTCATGAAGTTGTAAAACCATTCATTGAGTATTTGATAGCCAAATAGAATAATAAAAAGTAAATCATTAACAAGTGTAAATATACTTTGTAGGTAAATTGTAACAAGGAAATCAGAAAAGCTGGTTACATTTAAGTCCCATACTCCGAGTGACTGAAATGTATAATAAACTCTGTTTCTTGTTGTTAGCCTACAGGAGGGACACGTAGTGTGGTCTTCTGCTGCTGGAGTCCATCAGCTTCAAGGTTCATCATGATACGGTTCGGAGACACTGTTCTACAGACATTGGTAGGAACCATCAACATATAAAAATATGGATATTGCCCATTGCTCTTCCGGGGGGAAAGTTGAAGCAAAAAATGGGAGATTCCCACCACAGATTTTTGACCGAGTCACGCCCAGACAATCCAAAAATAGGAAAAGAGGAGGAGCTGAGGGTGGGGCTGTTACATTTAGAACAGGGTTGGAACAAATGTAACCAATGTAGCTACAAGCTTTCTTAGCTAACCCAAGAAGCTAAGAAGGGCTCCAGGGAGTGCGGCAGCCCTCTCGCACAATCGACTAGCTCCCGTGCGAGGCTGTAGCCATGCTGGTCGACTGTGGAGATCTAATATGAACTGGGAATGTTAAAATACAGGCAAAGCCAGACCCCTGTGCCCAGGAGCCCTGGCCATTCACCACGGACGGAGATAAGTGGGGCACTAGCTACAAAGTTTTCCGGGCGTTTTCAGCGTTACCGCGTTTTTCTTGCTAAAATGCCCTGAAAAACTTTGTTAGCTTCAGGTTAGCATGTAGGCAATGTCCCGCTGATCTCCAACCGTGGATAATGAGCTGATCAGAAAGGCCAGGTCTACCGGTCACGTCAATAACACCCAAAATGGGGTGGCCATGGCCACCTTTAGAAAATTGCTGCCCCCCAAGGAAAAGCCAGTGTTTATAAATCATATTAATGTTCAGTCAAACCATCAACTGATCTTTTCTGTAAAACAAAATAAAAATAGTACAATTAATGAGTAAAGAAATAATCAGAATAAAAAAGAAATATACATATGTTTCTGCTGCT